AGGTGGCAGTACTTCCCTGGACTATTAACTCTTTCACAAAGAGCTCTACTGCTACTGAAAATACGAACTAATGTGGTTTAATCTCTCATTCTAGTGGATGGCATAAAAAAAGTAGTTCTTATTAGTTACCTTGTACGTGTGTAACATTATACTTTTTCTATTGCTCCTATATTAAATAGAAGTTTGCATTATAGTGTTTGCCGTCATTACAACGCTTTTCGCGTCTGTGCAACAAGCGAAAAGCGTTGTTGAGATAGCAATTTCTAAAATTTTTCAGAATACCTGTTGCGCTCTGATACCGGCGCTTCGCAGTCCTTTTAAATTAAAATTTAAATAGAAAGGCAAAGAGATTATAAATACGAATATGACACATACAGGTTTGTAGCGACTGCCTTGATTAGTAAAATACCAGCTTAAATGTTCATTAGTCCCCGAGTTGTTTTATTTCTGTCTCAATAATAAAAAAATACATCAAGAAACCACTTAATAATATCCAGACAGATAAATCAAAATACCACCTAACCAAACATGTATCTAAATAAAATCTTCGTGGCACTACAAGTTGCCCCGACAAAACGGATTGAAACCACCCAATATTAAATGTAAGGAAACAACCCTGTGCATATAACCGTACCTAATAGGTTCCGTCTGAACGCATTCCAAGAGCAAATTATGTATATACATTCTCAGGAATTCCAAACGCTTCGCAATTCGATAAGTTTACCCTTTGCATTAAATACAAAAATTTGTTGTCCGGATCGATCTGTACTTATTTTATAATAATATTTAACTCTATACTACAAAATTCATTATTGACATAACCTCAAAAAGAAACTTGCGTAATTTAACTTTCAAGAATAAGTTTGGCTATTCAAAGGGTAAATGTTGCCAGCCTTCTGAACACGATGCCTCAGAGTGCGGATTTAAAGGAAATTCTATATATAAAGTTTATAATTATTAAGTTGTTAATTAAATTTTACTTTCTCTAAGTAAAATGAATTCAGTATAAATAAATAGGAACTATTATGGAAATACAAATGAAAAATTTTTCAACTGGTTCAGTACTGTATGAAACTTGTATTGTTCTTTCCGATTGACTCCACTCAATTTGAATGGTTAACCAAAATTATTGTTTATGTACGCTTATAAAATTATTTTAATGCTCGGTAATGTTGTTTTGTTATTAAAAGTGCGGTCCACAACTGAAATTTGTCATAACCCTCGTGTACCACTATTGTACTCGTAGATAATCATTTCTAAAGAATCAATTTAGTTGTTTTGAAAATTAAATTTGTTTAGTACTGAAGAGGATTGTTTATGGCAATGGTTTTCATTTAATTTATTATTCTTTATAAACCACAAATTTGCAACAAAATAATCGCAAAACCTATTTTAATGAAATTATCAAATTCATTTCTAAACACATTTCATTTGTATACTCTAGACGAAATTTTATTATTAAATATTGATGTCATGGTGGGAACAAAAATACGCTATTTAACAATCGACACATTTAATTCATTTCGTGAAACGGTACATTTTGTGAAACTTTGTTATTTGTCAGCGCTAAACAACTATGGAAAATGTGCAAACCTATCAGATACCGAGATATTTTTAACTGCCTCTGTGGCCAAACGGTTATAATGCTGGTCTGGTCACAGAGGTCCCGAGTTTCATTCCCGGGCTAGGAGAAATATTTGTATGGTCTACATTTATTTCTCTTGCGAGTTTGGGTGTAATTTGTAGTTGTCTATGTATGTCCATGACAACCGCGGCACAGGGTTTCCCTAGTGCGCTATGAGTGTGTGCGTTAAAAAAAGTTAAACTTTTAACGTCAAAGAGCTCAATCAGAGTGCAGGTGTGTCCACACGTCGAAATCGCAAACAAATGCTGAACCAAGCACTGTGAAATGTACGGGCGGACCGAACCAATATCTACCCACGCGACACGCGCGGCCACCGTGAACGCAACAAGCGTCTACGTCCTACGTATGTACATTTGAATAAGGCCTAAAGGCCCCCTTGCGGCCGTGAAAAATATTCGAAGTTTTGTTTTATAAACAAAGTTTTTATTTTTCTGACTGCTTAATCAGGCGTGTAGACGTAAAAGTAACGAAAGACCAAAGTTTTTTAAACACATACACAGTTTATCCTCGTTTCGTTATGATTTAGAATACGACAACAGCATATGACTTGTGTTATAAAGGACGAAAGTGCAATGATAATCACGAGAATTTGTTTCGTTAAGCGAACAATTTTGCGAACAGAATTATTGTTACACCATCGACACTACTAAAACAAACGAAAAAAACGTTGCGCGTTTCGCGTTTGAGATCCGGATAGGAGCGAAACGAGGAACTTGTTTCTCGTACTTATTACATCGACACAAAGGATTTCTGAGCGGCTTAAGAGTCTATACTACGTAATAATACGGTTCATTGTGCTTGGGTCGAGCGGCAAGGACTTATTAAAACCTACAAGTTGTAAACATAATTTAAAGAAATTAACATTTTTGTCACAATATTCTCGTGTAATATTGAAATAACCTTTGATATGTGGAGTACTTACGTATTAACATTGTTATTCCGCATCGCGGATTGGTATCTCGTCTCGATTATGGGAGTACGATATTGAAGCAAAAACCAAATGTTGACCAAATTTTGAATTTGAGGCACTCTTGTATAAACACACACAACAAGAATAAAAACGTCTGCTACTTGATGTCTGTTAAACACCGAGCGAACGCTTGACTCGATACTGCCTTAGCTCGAAATTCAATTTTTTTCCGTAATAACACAGTTGATCTTGCTTGAGTCGAGCGGTAGGGACACTGGCTTTATTTCTGAATAATTTTTTTTACAAACGAAATTAAAGCCATTTGAAAAATGTATATCGTATAGTACCTACACGTCTTCTATTTAATTCAGTAGATATAAAAAAAAAAATCGTTAGTTTATGAAAGTACCTATTGAAAATTTCGAAACAAGTTTGTTTGTGTTCTTTTTTGCAATGCGAACATTTGTAGGAATCGTGTTTTCACACCGTATAGTAATATCCTCAATGTTACTATATATTTTTTCCAATGTGATTGATTCGACACTTACTTGTTATGCGGAATCAACCAAAGCCATTTGTGGTAGTATAGACTCTTAACGTGTTTTGGTAAGTGTGGTGAACCCATAAATATTCGGTGTCGATGAGAACTTTGTAACGGTCGCCACTTAACATCGAGTATATAACCAGAAATGTAGACGAAATAAGGGTCATATATTCCTGGTAATACATTAGCGATACTACTCTTATAAATATCAACTCTCGTTTGCACTGAAATATAGACAGGCCAACTACTGACCTGTGTTTACGTCTCCGTATATTCCAAAAAATATTCTGTATTTATTGTAATAAAGATAGTATCTTTAACAATGCCGTGCCGTTCGATTCGGTGGTGTGGGAAAAACAGCAAAACATCTAATTACAAAACACGGAATCACATTTCATCGGTAATCAAATATTAAATATGTAATTTTGCAATTTTCGTCCATTATAGCAAAGCTCATGTTAACTGGACGATTTGAAGTGAAACAGTTGACACCCATTGACGACACCTCAAACTCGGGCTAGCCAATCGGAGCGCAGTTGTCACAGTACTTGGTACTTGGTGTAACGGGCTGGTGTCAGCAACTCGACGTCAAGGCGCCTATTTTGCGTGTGGAGTAATGATATGGCAGAATAGTTTTCAAACAAATTAAATAACATTTCGTTCTTATTTCTGGTTATATACTCGATGCCACTTAATTACCACTTAAATTATCATAATCGACATGTACATCGCACGGGCTTATTACACAAAAGTATTGTTAGAATTACTCTTATATAAGAATTCAAAATATCGTCGCGTATACTGCAATATTAATTTTTTAGCAGTAGAGCTCCTTGTGAAAGAGTTCATCCAGAAAAGGACTACCACAAGGACTACTACAAGGCCATGGGTGGCTTGTTAACTTATGTCCCAGGGTGACGGGCGCAGTGCTGCCGTCCACTAAAACGCGGCCAAGTGAGAAATGGTCAAATATCTGTTTTAAATAGCAAAAGATAGAGCACAAAATTCTCTTTTAAAAACAGTTAAAATTATTAAACGTGTTCGACTTATCGGAACTTACCCCAACGATGCATAGCTGAAATATTAAACAATTTCAATATTCTAAAACTAGGTTATGGATTTTTATGATATCTTATAAAATTATTGTGTCACTTAGCCGCGTTATTGGTTAACGGACGGCAGAGTAAAAGTGCCCCTTAGATCTTTGCGATTGGAAGCTCTGAGTGGCACTGCAACTGTAACGGGAAGGCGTGTTGTTTTCCACCAGGCTTTCCACGACTTGCCCCATGTATTTTCATCAGCATCCAAGCCCAGAACGCAGCGATGCACACATTACTGCTCGGCGGCAGAAATAGATAAGGTGGTAGACGAACTCTTTCACATGGAGCTCTGTTGCTACTAAACCTATGCCATGCTACGAAGGTTTACACACTCATAATAACGCATACACTCAACACAGCCCCGCATTAGGGAAACCCTGAGTCGCGGGTGCCATGGACGCACACGTAGACACCTACAAATTACACCCAAATTCACGAGAGAAATAAATGTAGGCCATACACATATTTCTCCCGGCCCGGGAAGGACCTCTGCGTGGCAGTCCGACATGGTAACCACGGAGGCAGGTGTACACTTTAAATACTTAAAGGGTCACATTTTAAATATTTTAAAATTCCCAATATGCAGATTTCTTCGCGTTGCTTACCTTCGCTATCCAATATTACATAATGTAATATAACAATCAAATTTGGCCGTACATATCTCGAAAAACCTCATTTGTACAAGAGAGTGGATAACCAAGTTAAGCGCCAAAAGAACCCAACTATCCCTATTATTTTTTCTCTACTCCCTACTTTCCCTACTCTTAATATATTACTTATTATTTCAAAATTTTGTTCCAGACAAATATATCCAGCCTTCAGAGCGTACTCGAATCCAGCTCCGTCGATCAGACCAAAGACCTCTGGCCAGAGCCAGACGGAGAACTTTGCGGATGACTGTTACGATCGTCACGGTGTTCGCTTGTTGCTGGCTTCCCTATGCTACAATGACGTTATGGTAAGACTTGTTGCCAAATGTTCCCTAGAATCGGACATTTATTGTGTTTAAAATGTGCAGTCACCTGCATGTGAGAATTTATTTAGTATGAATAATGAGGGTACAGCGTGAATAGTACTATAGTCCGTTCCAATCCATTTTAGACGAAAAGTAAACAAACAAGTCACTGACCCGATCATAGACTGTCTAGTATACAATTGTAATGCCAACTACAAATCGATTAATAAATTAAATGAATCGATTTGAGTTATGCTAGCGGTTCTTCTTACATAATCTATCCTTAATTTAAAATTCTCCTTCAAATCCTTACGCTTAGATACTTGTTCGATTGCGATTGAAATTTTCTATTTACTAATCGATTACAAAAATTTAAATTGAATGAACCGAATGTTTTTTTCCGTACAGCACTATGCAACCATAGATTATTCATACATGTATTATAATTAATAAATGCCTCACTGTTTTACTCAAAGCAAAAAATACGATTGTACGATGTTATTCAAATGAATATTGTTGGAAAAAGTGATGAGACAGCAAGTCAAAATCTTTGAAATATAAGTGAAAGTGTTACTTATTCGATTTATTGAGTGATTGCTTTACAATTTTAACTAAACTTCTAAAATGGATTAGAAAAGACTATACGTAGGTACTCATTTTATTGCCAAGTAATTAACACTACTGCTCCAAGTACTATTCCTCTGGTGATTTGTATTGGTGTTTACGCGTTTACACAACAATTTTGTGATTACGCGGTCTCCATACTAGGGCCAAACTTTGATGATCGAATCTTTGATCACCCAGATTTAACACCCGAAATCTCGCTACATATCATAAGTATACTCTACAATTGTATTTTATTCAGTGTTGTACGTAAACAATACATATATTTTACCACACGCAAAATAGGCGCCTTGATGTCAAGTTGCGGACACCAGCCCGTTATACCAAGTACCGAGTACATATATTTTATTGAACGCAAACTAATAACTAAACCATAATGGATAGATACATAAAAAAACGTAAAAGAGTTTATAAATAGAAAATTTCCTCGATGGCATCGTGCCAAGAAGGCTGGCAATATTTCTCCTTTGAATGGCTAAACTTATTCTTAGACGGAAATAACTGCCAGGCTTGTGGTCACCGGACGCTTCTACGAGGCAATCCAACAGCTCGTTCGCTAGAAGTTTCGCCTGTGGACCCCAGGCACCCAGGGTTTCAACCGTAAAAGGCTCAAATCTGTAACCTTTGTCACTAAAGGTTGGCGTATTTGGGCATTTTGCGGTTCTCGGCCGCTCTGGCGACAGAGCATGGTGCACGCCCGCGCTTGCAAGGACATGCGAGCCCCCTCGTACAGTGTCCACACAGGTTGCGTCCTACACTAACTGTCTCCCTTTTTTTTTTATTTTTTTATTTTTTTTATTTATTTATATCAGGTAACAGAGACCCATGTATACATACCTTATAGACTAACATACATAACAATATAAAAACAAAATACACCTATATTACATATACCTTAAAACAAACATACATACAATATAATAATAAAAACTAATCTACACGATTTCCCTTATCGGCGGCGTGTGGCGCAATCTGGTGTCAGGTAACCGGCCGCGGAATCGCCGATATATGACACCCTTCGGCCAAAATTCCTCTTTCATGAAGGTCGAAAGATGTTCGGTCGGTATTCTCACCACAAACGAATTGAAGTTCACGTTGCGGCGAGACTCCAACCGCTCGACCCTCAGGGTGTATTTGGTTTTATGCCTGATATACTCCACTATCTCCTCAGACTTCGTGGAGTAATGCAGCCGCGACAGGTACATCAACGTCGTCGGTACGGCCGGACGCAGCAGGAAGTTCGGTCCTGTCGGAGCTGTGCCACACTGGTTACGGCTGGTGGGCTTCCTCTTCACCACCTTTGTGAAGCCATCCTCGTCGCACTGGACCGTCTGCCTCTGTGGTTTTGCAACTTCAGAGACAGGCACACGGAAATTGTTTTTATCCTTAGCCGATTGCCGCCGCTCAAATTTCGAAGTGGCGGGTCGGCTAGTTGAAGCGGCTACAGCGGCTACAGCGGCGTATGCACGTGTCGGGGTTGACGTGCACACGCGTGACATTTCCACCGAGGCAGAGGGGCGGGCAGCGGGGCGCGGCGCATCATGCGCGGTGGCAGCAACGAATGGTGACGCATTGTGTGCCGACTCGAAACTGCTGACCGAGGCATTCAGCGCTGCTCCGCGTCGTGTGTTTACATTAGAGGCTTCTGGTGACCTACATACCGAAACAGCATTGCTTAATAATGCAACTTGGGTACGCAGCCCACTTATGATGTTATCCGAAGCCTCTAATTTACACTGTACTTCGGCTAGGCTAGACTTCAGGGACGTAATGTCCTTCAGCAGCCTAGTAACATCGACGTGGTCGAACGTGACGGGGGGCAGCTTGTGCAGCTCCTTCGCCACGAATGTAGGCACGTCGTCCGGGTCAGTCTCCTTCAGCAGCGTGATTATGTCTTGGAGACTCTTCACGCCTCCATCCCTCCGGCGAGATGGCATCTCTTCGGCTTTACCGAGACGCTGGAAAACCAGCATCTTGCCACTGCAAATCTCATCTTCACTGAAATTTGATTTGCATATCTGCACTATGCTGACTTCATCCATGGTGTCGATAGCGTGTATAATGAACGCCAGGAGCTCATTGGCAATGAGTTGCTGGGAACTCATTGTTAATTACGCGCAGCGGCTTGTGCCGCTCGAAACACGAGTTAGGTGTAATTAACTCACTTCGTCGTGGCACGTCCGTTTCCGAACGCGCATTGCTATGGACTGAAATGGACTAAAATATTTTTTGACGGGGGGGAAATCTTTATGGATACCCCTGAGCCCAGGGAGACTCAGGGGTTATGTGGGGACTCTCCCTCCACACTGGAAGGCCTACCCCACTAAAACCCCCCCGGGTTTCCCTCTCGCGCCAACGGAGGGGCGAGTCGGTTGTCCTCCGACCCGCCCCCCAGACGAGTGAGGCCGTGCAATGCAGGCTCCGGAGTCCCTGTCCAGAGCCCGCTGGTCTCACTAGGGGATTAGGCGAGCAGCGAACTGCCTTCGCCTTCTCCCCGTACGTCTGCGCCGGAGCGGGTGCGCGTCCGCCGCGTCCTCGCGCACCCGCTCCTCGGCCTCCTTTTGCGACATAACCTCTGCGCAAAAGGAGGCCACCGCCTCCCAGGACTCCTCGCTATCGAGCATGGTGGCAACCCCGCTCGGCAGCGAGAGGTCCTGCCCTACAGTCCCCGTCAGAGTGCGGCGCTGCTCATCCCACCGGCTACACACCTCTAGGGTGTGCTGCGCGGTGTCATCCGCAGCGCCGCACTCGTGGCACGACGGGGACGGTTCCCTCCTCGCCACCTTGTGCAGGTAGTGACCGAAGCAGCCGTGCCCGGTCAGCACCTGCACAAGGTGGTACGACAGTGACCCGTGGGACCGGTTTACCCACTCTACGAGGAGGGCACTAACTGTCTCCCTGCCTTCTATGGACCAACAGTCATACGGTTAGGCCTCTTACTGTCACTGCGGCAAATACCAGTGGGATCGAGAATTGCCGGTGTTGTATGTTGCATAGAAATATAAAATGTTTGAGAAACGATATTTTTAATATTTTTATTTTATTTCTTGTTTCAAAATAGTCAAATGGATTGGTCTGGTCAGTACAATCGTGGGCAGCTGACCGCGCGCTATTTCTATTTATTTATTCAAATAAGTCATGTATCCATATCAATTGACGCGGCCTTGATTTGGAAGTTGTTGCGACTGCAAAAGAACTCCAGTAGCTGCAAACGACTCAACATCGGCATATAACATACACCCAATCCCCATACTATCCAATTAGCAGTCCCTATCTACTGACCCGAGAGATAAGGTTTTCCGGAGAGACTACGGGCTCGACGGCAAGACAAGGGCACAGCGGGCATCCGGGCATCCGGGCCAAACCCTCCGCCAGTGATACGCCTTCACGGGTGTCTCTGGTGGACCCGGACTTGAATATGGACTCGCTGGGGTTTGTGGTGAGCTGCAGAGACGGACATGTTTGTCTGCCCCGGTTGCATGTGCCGGGGGCGTCTGTCTCGTGCGCAACTAGCGCGTCTTAGTAGCGGTCTAGTTGAGGGCCTGAAGCGAGGAGACGCGCGAGACACGTGAGTCGCTCTTTAAGTTGGAAGCTATGTTCGAACATTGTCCCAGGACACTGCGACTGGCATCGCCGGCACTAGCCCTGAGAGCTAGCAAAGGATAAGCTTGATATCCTCCCGTCTCTCTAGCCGCTTAGGTTATTGCGAACTGTAGAGACGTCGTTTTTCGGCGTTTGAAAGTGAGCGTCCTACACTAACTGCTCCGCCACTAATAATTTGACAGTGGACTTTGAGTCGACGGCTTAGTGGTGGTAACCGCTAGTTGTGCTATGCGCAACGGGAAGTGAACATGCCTACAGCTCCGGCACCTATCTGTAAAATAGGGAGGGTACTGTATGTGGACCCGGGACGGCTCAACTGAGGCCTAGCCTCTCGAGAACCGGATGAAGTCAAGTGACAGAGGTCTGTGACAACACTGTACACTGGCTGATCTGGAGTCAGAACCTGAACTTATTAGCTTCCTGTGCGCGCACAGGTTATAGTGCTCTTTCCGTACACCCTAACGGTCGGTAGCGAGGGTCACTATATTGAAAACTAATGTAGAATGATATGAGGCTGTCCAATTAGAGGCGCGCGACCGAACATGTTATAGTGAACGTGGCTGTTTACCGACATTCGCGTGTAATTGAAAAATTTCGTGTCGTTTTCCCGTAACCCATTTTAGAACGAATAAACGGCAGCCTTTGTAGTTCTTATTGATAACAAGTACCTATAGATATGTTATATTTTCGAGATCTATTTTGAAAATGAGTTGTTTGTGTGTAGAATACAATCTCCGACGCCCAGTCGCTGACATAGTCGCTATTAAAACTTACCGCTATGGCTGCGGTCGCTCGCGGCTATTTGCTTAGGACATTTTGATTGTTATATTATATAAGTCAGACCAAGCAACCATTTCTGCAGTATACCTATTAACTTCGAATGCTGATGACAATTTTATATGACATGATTTGAGGACGTTGTTGTACAGGGTTACACGGTATAGCTCTGTAGTCAGTTGCCCGAACAACTTAACTATGAATATTTATTACATTTTTGACATTGAAGAGCCTACTCATAGTAAGAACACCAATCTTTTTAGTAGGTACATTATTAGAAGATAATAATATTATTATATATTATTATGTACTAGTATTTACAGAGCTTTAAAAAATAAAATAGCATCCTCAAATGCTTAATCAATTAAAATAATAGATGTAAATAACTCCGAAGGTTACGCTTGTGGCATCATGCCAAGAAGGCGACCAAAGTCTGCCGTTTAGATCGTTATAATCATAGTACCAATAGTAAGACAAGTGTGGTAACTCCATACAAACATTGGAACGCGGCTTGTAAATGTGTATTCTCTCCTTCAAAACGAAATCTCTGAAAGCGCGAAAAGTCACGAAATAAGTATCGCGTCTTTCTATTTAACAAGAAATTATTTCACCGTGTAGTATTAAATAAATAAAATATCGAAGAGATTTATGTAAATAAATAAGTTAAACTTAACTTTAAATCGTCACCGAAGTACTTATTTTAGAAAATAAAATCGAAAATGCATTGTTTCCACTGCGTTCGTGTGATTTGCGGCAACTGCCGCAACCGGCGATTGTGTCCGGCTGCCACAACCGCCGACCGTTTATATGAAAAGAGAAATAATATAGACGTGAATTGCCGGTTGCTTTTTATATCGAACACAAGACATACGTTTGCGCGCCGCCTAATTGTTGTAAAGTAGGGTAATTGACGACTGCGAATGACTTGCATCAAAGATCAAATCTTTTTCTTCTAAATCTTTATTTATTAAATATTTTTCTTGTAAATTTACTTATGAATGAATATTTTATTATTTTTTTCATACGTGTATATGTGGAACACGTAATGGCATCATTAAATCGGTTACCTATCAATAGTCCGAATTGACATTTTCCAGAAATAACGTTTGGTCGAAATGTCATAACCTCGAAAGTAATTTTGAGAGGAAAATGTTTTTTCTTTTAAACCTATCTTAACCTAACCTAGCTAAACCTAATCGTGTATTTGCGATAAACATTCAACATAACCTTAAAGAACAACTGTTTCGTTATAATTCAGTTTTCGATGAAATGAAACTTGGAACAAGCGTTGTTTCGGACAAAAAATTTTCGACTTTATGATAGGTTACCCATTAAATCAGATTTAATAAAACAATAATATTTTCACCCAAACTTGTATTGTCATTCATTATTTAAATTTACGTCATAACACAAAAACATGATCAAAAACATGATTTGATGGCCAGGACAACCACAAAATTATAACAAAATTATATGTTATACTGTTGATGTTCTATCATTCTGCGTCAAGTTTTTTTCAACCGTATAGCTACGTATGGATATTTACTGAGACCAAATATTTTTTAGGTCGGGAGTATAGAGTTATCTCTAGGCAAGCACATGCACGCCCACATCTTTACTTCGTCTGATGTGATGCAAAAGAATGCCTATTTAAAAAAATACTCTATTCACAATGTATCTCCGAAATTGTGTTACTAATTTCATATTTCTGCTTTCTCAACCAGACATAAGGTGGTTTACCGCCGGCGAGGCGAGGCGAGACGAGGCGAGACGAGGATTGAAATTTGTATGACAAAATTTCAATTCTCTCATGACCAATCTTCGGTGAAAATAGTCAGGATTGACGAGGATGAGCAAGACAAGAATTGAAATATTTGTTGATGTAATGTTGAACAGATTTGCTGCCTTCAGAGACTATTATGCTCTGCAACACAACTTCTCGCGCGAGCTCGCCATGGCTATTAATATCAATCGCGAGATTGTGGGGTACGCACTATTTGAGATTTAAAACAGATGGTTTCATCTGATTCTTCTTCCGTTAAAATATTTAATAAAAATATTTTACGGGACATGTTACTTCAACCGTATATTTATCTCTAGATGAATTCAGTTCAGTCAGCACCGAACCTTCACTATCCACAATCACAGCGCAAGCCCGCTCAATGTCGCGATGACTAGTTCGAGATCGCGATGTCTCATGCGAGCTCGCGTGAATTATTAATGGCAATTTTTAGAGGAAATAGGCCGGCGAGATTTTAGCTCTCGTCTCTCCTCGTCTCGTCGGTGGAAAACCACCTTTATGTTGCCTTGACTAGACTACTACAATTTTGAATTGAGCATACAAGACAATTTAACATACAAAACAATACGAAAAAAACTGTACGTAAGAAGATGAATGCTGTATTCACTATAAAATTTCGCAAGCTCTGCGAAATATTATCTGTATGCTTAGTACAAAATCTCCTTATTTTCTAATACGTTATTCTATAAAGGCAGCGATATCTGCCGTACACTGAACCTTCTGTTTAGGTATATGCTAGATCGGCAGTCAGCAATTCACGTATCAGCCAGAGTTCAGGACTTATTCTTCATCATGGCCGTTTCAAACTCCTGCATGAATCCATTGGTCTATGGCTCCTACACCTTGGACTACAGGACATTACTCATGACAATGAGAAAGATCTTCTGTGTTCATAGCAGCCCTTCTGATATGCCTGGTAAGTTTCTTATGTACTGTCTCGTCTTGGATATGTTTTATTTTAATAGACTTCAAAAAAAGGAGGACTTTCTAAATTACAATGTATTTTTTTTATTTACGTTAAGCGATAACTCGATTTCTCGATTTGTGAACTGTTTTTGGAGATATTGGTCATATTTAAATTTCAAGGAAATATTCCATCTCTAAAGGTAGTAAACTAGGGGATAAATCCTGTTTCGCGCAATTTCCGCTAACCTATTTCAATTAAAATTGTCAAATAGACGTAATTTCACGAACTTTTGAGGTCGGTTTTTTTTTTAAAAAAACTACAATTATTTCTTTGGTTTTGCGATTGCTGCCCATTCAATTAACCATTTTTTTATCTAAATAGCGTATACTTGTTTTTTTTTTCAATCAAATACACTCTCTCTGAAATAAACACTCTTGTACTCTAAATTCTTAAATAATCATACAATGTCATAATGTTCCGAAATTCGACTGCCCTAATTTCATTGACATTGGTCTCTCTGATTATCACTCAAAATTGTTACTGGCACAAATAACAAAAAGTGTTTTCATAAAGTCTTAGGGTCGTATTCCAGAACTCTACTCAATACTCAAGTCAGGACATGAGTATTGCAGTGAGCAATGAAAATCATACTCAAGTCCTTGCCATTAGGGTCGTATTTCCAGTGCTTGAAATCATACTCAAGTCTGCTCAAATCCTGACTTAAGTATTGAGTAGAGTTCTGGAATACGACCCTGAGATACGTATTTAATTTACAGTGTACTAATTGTATTTTACTAATTTGTTTGATGTTAACTGTACTCTTGTAAAATAATTCTAAGTTTATCAACAAAATTTCAAAATCCCCTGTTTAGATATATCTATTGTATACAATTATTACATTTATTATTTATTTTTACAATTACTATGTACAAAAAAGATAATTGATGTTTTCAGGAATTTCGGCTCCAGATACTCTGAAAAGTAAATTGGCAACTAATGACGTTATACGCCCCGAAACAGTAAGTACAATCAGGGAATTAATTGGCCATTACCTTTTTGAACTTTCTGATTTTTTAATGTACTTGACACTAAAGAAATAAGGTATTATTTATCTTTATGCTCTAATGGTTTAAATTTACTTAATAAGTAAAAAAGTCGATGTTCAATTTAATAATTCGAATTTAATGAAGTATGGACATGAAAAGCTAAGTGAAAGACATGAATAAGGTGCACCCTGTATATACAACTTGCAACCCACTAAAGCTCCTTGTAAAAGAGTTCGTCCAGGGAAGTACTGCCGCCATATCTATTTCTACTACCAAGCGGTAATGTGAGCATTTCTGTGTTCCGGTTTTGAAGGGTAAGGCTGCTGGTGAAATTACAAGCACATGAGACTTGTCAACTTTTGTACCAGGTAGACGGACGCAGTAGCAATGCTCTCAACTCTTTGCGATTTAAAGCTCTGAGTGGCACTGCGGCTACTAATGGACAGGCGTGTCGTTTACCACCAGGCGCACGACTTATTCGTCCTGTCACTTGGTATCATATAAAGAAAACAAAAACTACCGAAAGATTGATCTGGAAGTCTTTGAAACCTGGGATTTCCTAAATAAGTAAATAAGAGGCAAGCATTCTTTCTACTTGTCTACTACATTACATTTATGTTTAATACTTGCATTAAAATTGAAAAACATTTTCACACATTACTAAGCTGTAATTTATATAAATAAATAAATAATAAAGCACAATAATAACGTAATTTAGCGCGAATTTTGAAAAACGCGTTATAACGAAATCGTGAAATGTATTACTGTATTTTTTCTTAGAACGCACACACTCATAGTCCAGCACTAGGGAAACCCGGCGTTGCGGGTGTCATAAACACACACATACACAACCACAAATTACACCCAAACTCACGAGAGAAATAAATGGAAATGGCCGGGAGAAATATGTGTATGGCCTTATGTAGGCACATATTTCTCCCGGCCTGGGAATCGAACCCAGGAGTTCGGCCACTGAGGCAGTTAAAAAGTTATATTCTTTCGAAGTGGTCGAATTCGTAGAAACCTTGACAAACTTTATTAAAAATTATTCCAGGTTTGCGTTTCCCTTCGTTCAATATTCGAAGTTGGAAAGAAGTAAAACTTCTTTGAATATATCTTTTTTTAAATTGTAAATCAAAGAATATGGCAAAAATATAAATTAATCTGCCGCACCCAACCAGAATAATTCTGACCTGGACAAGTCGGATATACCAGGGGGCACAGTTTCAGGAAGTGACACGCCCGGGATTGTGGAAGGGAAGACCAACCAGCCGCAACCGGTGGCCAGATTCCTACCGGTTATGCAGCGCGTGACAGAAAGTAGGTAGTAGGGGTAGTTAGTTATTTCGGTAGGCGGTTAGGTAGTATTATTAGGAATGAGCGTTGATAGTGTTGGACTTCGTGTTGCCTTAGTGGATTCTCCTGGGTGAGGATGTGTTCTCGTACATAGAACTCAACTCATAGAACTCAAAGAAGGGGAAAGAAATTCTGATTTGGTGTCGGTTTCCGAAATTCTATGTATTTCTTCAACTGCTTGCCTAAATTTATCATTATCTTTAGTTAGTTCTATCCAGTCGTTTTCGTTACGTTGATAGTAATTCCATGTTATCTTTTATGGAGACGTTTCAGGTAAATATGAGTCTTCCTATTTTGAGTTGTGGTGCTCTAAGTGTTCGTGCTGCATGTAAAATGTGTGGGTGTTTTCTTCAGCCTCAAGCCCAAAGCCTCAGATATTTTATTCGTTTGCTGGCTTTCGTTCCAATACATTGTGTATTTTTCTTTCAATTGGTTTAGTTCGTGCGCAATTAATCATACTTCTGAGTTACTACTATAACCTCAGAAGTATTATAAATATTAACCTTTCGTATCTTCTCAGCTTCGCTCTATTGGCTTTTGTAAGCGCGGCTGCTTTAAGGCCGTAAGTCATTGTAGGTTCAATCACCATCTTGTATATTAAGCGGGCTGTTTGCCATTAGATTTTTGATAGCATTACGAAATGTGTTATTATTTTTGCATTCTTGATAGCTTGTTTACATCTTGTGTGTACTGTAGTTTTGTGGCTGTGAGTAGAGCTTATGTACGTGCCTAAATAGTTAATTTCTTTTGTTGGCAGTATGTTAGTTCTGCGTAAGAATCGGGCGTTCTTTGTGTTCCGGTTTGAATTGGGTTGCGTAGGAAAACTTTTGTTATTTTGGTGTATATTTTGAGTCCTATTGTGCAGAAAAGGCAGGTTCTGTCAATGATATCCAGTTTGCTTAGTGAGTTGGATATCATGAATATGTTGTCTGCGAATGATAGTACTACCGGTAAGGAGATTTTCTTATCTTGGTCAAGTTGGAGGAACTCTATTTCTTCCTTGAGTGTTCTCATTAGGTCGTCCATTATCAGAGTGAACAATCGTGGCGAGAGTGGGCACCCCTGTTTTTTTCTTCTTTTCCTTTCGTTATCCAATTTGTTTGTTGTCCAAACCATTTTATGTTCGTTATTTCGTTCATGTAGGCCTTAAACCTGTTTGTTGGGGTTTTTATTCCTTCAAGTAAGAAATATATTCCGGAGTTCATTTAGGTTTACAGAGTCATAAGCTTTCTTCCAAGATTCATCAAGTATTCGCATGAGTGCAAAAATGTGGTCGTCTGTTGATCTGTTTTAGAGAAATGCTGCTTGGTAATTTCCTAGTTCCGCTACAGTCGCTTATAGTCTTTGCAATAGGAATTGCCCATATTGCAAATAGATATTTTTTCTGTAATCGTCGATGTTTTTGGGGCGTGAGTATTGGGAATAGGGACTTGTACTTTTCGAATCCAACACAAGAATTTGGCCTGAAAACAAAACATAGTAATGTTTTGCCTTGAATAATTCGGGTTTGTCTTGAATAATTCGGTTACTATATGATCCATTAATGTCGCGATGCCGTTTTTTTATTTCTATGATTATTTCCTGAAATATTTCCTCGTTCATGTCTTCGACGAGTTTTGATTGGTCTTCAATTGGAATCGTTGTTATGTGCATTTTCTCGAAGCCCTTGAAAAAACATTGACATTCTTTTTCATCCCGTCTCACTTTCTGTTTTTTGCAGTTTTGCCCTACATTCCTTCAGTTGTTTTGAAAAAGTGGGGTCTGAAGGTTACCGGTTTTTTAAAACATTCACTTTTTGTAATCGTACGATGGCAACTCTAAGCTCTTTGTTTATGTTAAGGTGGATAGATAAAGTGGCGTTGATACTTCGAGTCCCAGGAAATCAAACCATTGTTGGCCATTTTGGTTTTTAAAAGTATTTCCCGTATTTCGTTTTGATATTTGGTTGCCGTATTCTCTCCTTGTAGCAGTTCATAGTCAAAGTTTTTGTGGTTAAATTCTTTGCTGTCGGCGGTTGTATCTTTTGATGTATGCTTACGTTTTTTCGATTGAAGTCGTTGGTAGTTTACCTCACCAAAAGTTATTTTGTGGTCAGTAATGTTATCAGTATGTGCACCTGCAATGAAGTTGAAGATGGGGGCAATTTTATAGATGTGATAATATGGTCTAACTGTGAATGTCTGGTTCCGGTTACCAACTAACTTTGCAAGATTTTCAGCCAAATGACGTATCCAGTCTGAGTTTTTCTGTTTTGATTAGATTCAGGAGTATTTCGCCGTTGTCGTTGTTCCATGAAATAGGTTTTTGGAGATAAGTTTAGCTTTTTCTACACCCATCAAGCAGTCTTTATATTGGAATCCCTTGCTATAATTATTATCGATTGGTTCGGTTGGTTTTAATGAGTTTTTGGAGTGCTGAAAATGTTTTCGGTGGTTTGGATGTAGCGTTTAGTATGTGGGCCGTGATTATGTACCATTTCTTAGTGTTGGCCAGTTATTGTGGTTGTCATTCTCTGGTAGTCTTCTGTGATAGTTTTCATTTGAAGGTCAATATACTTTCGTACCAATATTACTAAGCCGCGGCTTTTGTTCTGTTTGCTCAGGTGCAAGTTATAATGTTTTGATATATATGCTCCCGTGTTCATGTTCGTTTCTTGTAAGCAAACTATGTGAATTCCTTTGTTTTCTAATTGGACATCTATGTTTGCTTTTTTTGTTGGCGTTAAGGAATTTTTAGGGTAAATTGCATCACTTGTGTTGTGTTACTGTTGTCGGTGCATTTGGATAATTTGTTTATGATGTAGCTATGCACGTGTCGAGCCTAGTTTTAGTGAATATTGAGATGGAATATTTATTTCTTTATATGTATTTGTGTTTTGTTTTTGAAGAGTTTTGTTGAATGTTTTAGACGTCTAGCTTTATTTTTACAAGAGAAATAACGTTACTTTGACAGTTTGCATGAAAAAACGATCTAAGTGGGCAGAGTGTTTAATGTCAACTATACTTTACTTTTTTAATACCTAAACAGTCTCGTTTAATTTTCGGAATGGTTGGCGTGTGATTATAACTGACTCCGTGGCCGAACGGTTATCATGCCGGACTGCCACGCAGAGGTCCCAGGTTCGATTCCCGGGCCGGGAGAAATAGTTGTATGGCCTACAATTATTTCTCTTGTGAGTTTGGGTGTAATTTGTGGTTGTCTATGTGTGTGTCCATGGCACCCGCGACACAGGGTTTTCCTAGTGTGGGGCTATGTTGAATGTTGAGTGTGTGCGTTATAACGCACTGGTTCCGAAATGTGTGGGGTACTATATAAAAAAAAGATAAAAAAAAAACAAGGTTATCAATTACATGTATTATTTGATAGGCCTTTTGGAGCTATGAATATCATTGTTAATAAATATTTCGTATTAGCTGTTTCATAGTAGCTGTAAAGTTATCTAACTGGGTGACGAAATACTTTCATACATTTCTCATAGATGGCACTACGGCTAAAAAGTCGTTGAATAACGAGTTGACAACAAGCATATAGAAAAATTCTTGGCTTAGTTGGCATAGCGTCTGACACGGTTTGCAAGAAGACCTTAATTTCAATCCAGCCGGATTGAAGGATTTTTT